TTCTCCTCTCTGGCGCTTTGAAGACAGGTGATGACTGCAGCTGGGGTTCAAAGTTCCCCTGCTCTTTCAAGGGAGGGAGTGGAAAGAAGCTCAAAGGTGTTAGAACACAGGAATACCTACAGTGGTCTTGAGATCCATGTTATACTGTTTATGGTGCTAACAGGCAGGAGCTGTGCATGCTCCAGCCAGGGATGGGGTGGTACCACCACCCTAGTGACAAGATCGCAAGGAACTTCTGCAGGCTGGAACCTGCCGAACTTCCCATCCTTGAAGCTGCATTTTCCATTTGATCAATTCCCAGTGTGCTAATCAAAGTGGTATCACTCTTGGAAATAGCCTAGAGGAACAAACAATATAATATATTGAAATGGAATGAAAACCAGGCAAAGGCACGAGTGAGGTGCAGCAGCTACCAACAAGTATTGAGCTGCCTTTCTCAGGGCAGCATCACAAAAAAAACCAAGGTAAAGGTGGAAAAGGGAGTGGAATTTATTATCTAGGTTCAGCTATGTCTACATGGATTGAGCACGGCCGTGTAAAATGTGTCTTGTCTGAGCACTCAGTCTCCGCTATGGTTGGTCAAATTCAGGTGAGGTGATATCAGGCGGTAGGTACTCATTGGCCCCCTCAGGGGAAGAGGAGGGTAGGGCACTCCTGGAAGTGGGAAGGTTGAGTCACTCAGCTCTATTCTTCTACAAGTAGTCATGCAACATATGAGATTAGATATGTAATCTGTACTGTCGCCAAAGTGGTAAATGAATAAAGAAGGTTGCAAAAGGAACGGAAACTCATTCAAATGAAATTGTGTGTGAAAGTGAGTAGAAAATACACTGCAGAAAATAATAAAAGAATAAAAACTTTAAAGGTAAAGTAGCTGAAATTTTACAGATTCTTAAGTAGTATTGCATTGCCAGAGCTATTTGCTGGGCATTAATAATGTGACCCCATTTCCTAGCCAATACAAAGATACATCTAAAATTTTCTAGATAAGATTGTCATATATTAAGAGATAACTTTGGAAAAACTCTTACTTTCAAATTTTCCTCTCCCCTTTTTAAAAAAATCCATTTTTTGCCTCTCCAAAGTTTGAGAATTTGTGGGAGTATGTGGGGGTTGGGTCCACCTAAAAAGATCATCCATAGTCTAAAGCAGTTACCAAAAGTGTAAGTATTCCATATTGCAAGAGCAGGGAAACTCCCTGAAACTTCTTTATCTCTGAAGCTAGAATGAGTTTCCTGTCTTCAAAAGCCCTATCCTTCTTTCCAAGTAAATATTCAAATTATAATACCCAGGGTTGTCTGGAGAAACAAACTGTATTGCCTAGAAAGTAAGTTACTTTTTCCCAAAGATATTCCTAGTAATTTAAAAATACCTAGAAGTTAGCGGGATAGTTTCAAGAACATGTAATTCTTGTGTAGAATGATCTAATCACAAGGCATGAGAAGGGGACCACTGGAACTCTGAAGACCTCTGTTTGATTCCTGATTCAGCCACTGATTTTCTCCCCATGACTGCCAAGGTCATCCAGTTTTTCCTATACCTCATTTCCCCAGGTGTAAAATCGGGCTGATTTTCCATAACTCAGGTTGACACTAAGAAAGCAGAGATCCTTATGTTTTCAATATGGTAGGACAGAGGACTTGGGCTGCACAGACGTAATTTAAATCCATTGATTATTTTCCTTCACTGTATTCCTACTTGCCCTACTATGGAAGGTGTTAGAAAAGTCACTACCACCATTATTCCAAGTTATTCAAACATGAAGTTCCGACACAATGACAACTGGTGCACCTGGGGAAAAGAGGCACAGAATAGAGTTCAGCTGTGAACTTTTTCATAATGACCACAGATCCTAAGACGAAGAGTGCCAGGAAATGTTTTATTTATCCTAACCAGCTTGATTCCAGAAGCACCAAAGTTATACTGACCTAACTGGCTCTGTAAATGCCCAGAAGAAAGCGACTCATATGTTATTGCTGTCAAGCGATTGCTTTGTAGATGTAGGACTGAAACCCAAGGCTTGGTAAGTGCAATGAGAACTTAGATCCACTTAGCCGTAGACTTGTGGTCTGTGCAATTATGGAAAAGGCTGTTCATGAAGGTAGACTCCAGATATATTTTCCTCAGACCCTGCCCTTCTGAAGAACAGCCAAAACTACATACCCATGGATGTTAAAAATCCCGTCCTTTGGTTGAGACAGTTTTGAGATCTGCACTGTCAGATTAGCCCACCTTCCAAGGAAAAAGGCTGCACGGAGATCTCCTTTTTCTCCTGATGCTCCATAAGTGCATGCATCACAGGTGAAATGCACTCAGGAACTGTTGAGATCGAGCATGTTTTCCTCCTGCAAAGAGGCATGCGTGAAGATAAAAGTCAGTCCTGAAAGAAAACAAGACGATGAAGCAGCAGAAATGTAATGCATCCCTGGAGAGGAGTGTGCAGCTCCCACACATGGGTCCCGGTGCTGACAGTCCTGCACATGGAGATGTAACTCACAGCTCTGGAATCCGGAGCTGGAATTTGCTCTGGGATATGTCCCTGCAGACTTGGTGTGCCTGGCTGGCCAGCAGCCACAGGGAGAGCAGTGCCTCTTGGCAACTCAGAGTGGGGCGGATCACGCTTCAGGCAACAAAGTACTTACCATAGTACTCGTGAGGGCAACAGCAGCTAAGGGTAGTTAGGATTGGGCATTTTCCAAAACATCTGGAGCAGCTGAGCTTCTTAAGCCAGGCCTGCCCGGTGCTCTGGTTGTGAGTTAGGATTATTATACAGGTGCCTGTAGACCGGATTAGATATTCATAATTAATTGCTACAGTGTATGATTGCTTGAGCCAAATCTGTGCTCCTAATCCTTCCTCCGCATCTTTTGACTTTCTTATCTCAATGATCGCCTAATGTGAAGTGGTGTAGGCCAACACACAAAGTATCTAGCAGCTGGAACTTACCTGCACTTTCAATACTTACATATCTACCTTAATAGTAAGGAGCTGGTAGCTGGTTTTCCACCCTGCTTTGCACCGGAATGGCTGTGTCTTCCAGCCTCCACAGAAGTTAGTATTGATGCCCTTTTTTACTGGAATTTTGCTTTGCTGTGGGCATCGATCTAACAGAATTTATCCTGCACAGCCTGGTAATAGCCGGTGTTTGCACAGGGCGTGCAGAGGCTGGAACTTCAGTAAGAAGAACCTGCTTCTTTTTTTGCCATTCAGACTTGGTAAAATACAGCTGAATCCCTTTCAAACACAGTTTGCCTGACTAATAGCAGCATCCCACATTCAAGATATTAATCACACAGAGATCGCAATATTGTAAGTAGCAAAAAAATGTAAATGAATATCATATGAAGTACTTATGAGAGCCTCCACAATACTATCCTCTTTAAAATACTGTAGCTAATGCCTGAGCTGATGCCATGCCTTCTTCCCAACTCTGCCAAAATCATTTCAACCCTGTGTAAGAAGGCTTGATTCCTACTAGCAAGCAAAAGAGAGAAAAGCTGTGTTTAGTAGCACTTTCCTCTCTTACTTAGGACTTCCATCTAAATTTAAGTGTTTTTGCTAAGTTAGTTCTTCATTGCAAAGAAAATACTAACTGATATTAAATAATGGCAAGGGCCTTTATTGCTGTAGCAACAAGACAGAGTAGCATTAAAATGCCCTCCCCAGACATGCTCTTTTAAATAAAAAGTGAGCATATGTGACAATGAAGTAAAAGAGGGAAATTGCAGGAGGTGAGTCACTCGTAACATCTTACAAATATTTTCTCAAATATTCTAGCAGTGAGATAATTATAGAAGGGAACTGCCTATCTTTTCTCAAGAAATAGAAATATTATTTTAACTTGCTAGAAATGCTCAGGAAAATTGTATTTCATGAAAGTTCAGGTTTATCCAAGCGGACCGCTGTGGTAGGAGACCGTCCTTCCCAGCTGCGTGCCACCGGAAAAGTGTAACTTATATATTGTATTTCTTCCAGCTAGAGTTTCAAATATTAGCAAAGCTCAGTTGTCATTATTTAGCTTTACATTTTCTAAAATCTCTATTCTTATTGAGTTTGGATTTCTTTTTTTTTAAATACAGATGAAGTCTAATGCATAGAAAAGTATTTATTAGTGTTGTCCATACATAAAGATAACAGAAAATGGAACTTCAAAAGAACATACAGGCAGTGTTGAGCACAAGTGCTTTAGCTGCTTAGTAAGGGGTCCAGTCCTGGGCCTATGTACAAACTTGTATAAGTCATTTTATCCCTGAGTTTCTGTGTACCTGCCAGAAAATGAGTATAACATGCTTCATACTATAGGAGAAAAAGAGAAAATTGAAGTTTGCAAAGTTTTCTGACATCCTTTGATGAGATTGGAAAGCTGAAGCTTTGCAAAATTATGGAAAAATCTGAAAATCTTGTTACCCTTCATTATTACGATGATGAAAAACTAATGATAATGTAGTTCCCTATCAAAATGTTGCTTGCACTGGCTGAGAAAGCTGAAGTCTGCAAAGCTGCAGAAGTATTTTCAAAACTGCTTTATAAGCAACACTTTGCCTAGGTCCTGTGAAAGATCAATCTTTGACAAAGGTTTAGCACTTACAGAGAAATCGAGTTAAACACAGAGAGAGAGAGAATATTTTGAATATATTTTGAAGTTTATTTTTCTTAATAATTTTTAGGTCAAAAGTATTGTACATAACCAGGAAGTGCATAGCACTGAATTCATCACTTTGGCTAGCACAGCTCAAAGAGGAGCAAGGAGGCTACTTATATACTTCTGTGTAGAGTATGTAACATCCACTGGTAACACCTGTGTAGCAATCTACGTGCAAATAAAATCTATAATATCCTCAACTATGCCAAGTGTAGTCTGTTGTGTATATACAAAATCAGAAAAATATATGCCTTTTTTTCTTATGTACACTATATAACATGAGAATAAAATCTGGGATAGTTTGCAGTAACTTAGATGAGACTGGACTTTCATTATACAGAGCTTTAGAAACACTTCCTCAGCATTTTTTGTCTTGCACCATTGTGATAAAAAAGTTGCAGAAAGAAAGCAGGCTTTCTGGACAGTATTCCTCGGCCACCTTTTTCTGATCAATATAATCTATGTCTTCAACACAGTCTTGAGGACTGTGTTCTCTCTTTTTTTCAGTCACAGAGGCAACTGGTGGAGTCTGAACAACTTCTTTTGCATGATGAATTGTGTTCCCTTTCGCAGGACCCACTGACGTTAGTAGGCTTGAGCGGGTCAACTTGAGATGAGCGCTTCGTGGGCCTTTCCTACATACTTTAGATTTTAGGACACTTTTGGGGTCTTGACAGATCTGCTTCTGCTTCTTTAGGGATCGGGAGACTTGTTTCCAGTAGGATTTCTGGTTTGATGCATACTGTGGACAGGTGGAAGGGTCTCCAGAGAATTCGCACCAGAACTCGCTGTCACCATGCTTGCACTCTACATGCACAGTAGTAGCATTCATGTCGGTCACTACCCAGGTGCACTCAGCATTTTCTTTGGTTTTAAACTTGCCTTTAGGAGATGCTCTTCCTCCTTTTGTCTTCCGCCCTCTTTCATTTTCTTGGTTAGATTCAGTTTGGTTTTTTCTACCGTCTTCTATGCCTTGTCTTCTCTTTTTTCTTTCCTTCTGTCTTTCACAGTTGGCTAGCAGCATCTGGGAGACCAGAATCAACACACAAAGAAGTCCAAAGCTTTTGATCCTCATGGTCTCTGTTTTGCTTGTTATCTGCCTTCATAACAAACAAACAAACAAACAAACAAAAATATAAAAACATTTTCACTTAATACTGGACTCCATTTGACAGTTGCAGTATTTCAGACATGGTATTGCACTGCTCTTTGATACCAATTAAAATGATGTTACTGGCAAAATCCTCTGTCGTTTGTGTGAATAATACCTGGTTTCTAGAACCACTACGTATTATCCTTGAGAACTGTAGATGGCTATGGAGTAAGTCCTTCCGATCCAATTACTTAATTACCTATGCAATGTGGAACAAAAGAGAGTCACTCCCAGGACGTGCTAGTGCCCTGTGACTGAGGTATCTTAACTGAAATCTCTTCTGCAGTCAGAGAAGGAATTTGAACCTTGGATTTGTCAATCATCTCAGATGGATATCGTAAGTTATAACATATAAAGCAGTTATTGTTCCCATGAGCTCCCATTTTGTAAATAAGCGATTCTGACTCCAACCTTTGGCTATTCTTCAAAAGTATGCCAGACAGAAAGGAAACCATTTGGTTCAATTTGAAGAAAATTATTTCTTAGACATCCTGAAAATTGTCTTAATTCACTGGCTATACCAGTATTTCAGTTTTCTGTTGGAAAAAATAATGACAGTAGTATTTCCAGACACCAAAAAGTAACTATTGATGCATTCATTGCTGCCTTGACTGCTAAAAAAAAAGAACTATCTTTTTGTTTTTGAAGACACCTGCAGTGTACTGGGCTGTGGCTAAAGCTACAAAATTCAAGGGACAAATATGCAACTTCAGTTTTGAAATGTAGCTAGTTAGCAAATTATTATGAAGCTGATCGCTGCGTCTGCACAGAGCACATTTATTTCTGTAGGTGTTTCTCTTTATGAAGCAGCTTTTAGGATCAGAGCATACCATAATAGTAGAGGGTTTAAATCTGGCAGTTAGTTGATTAAATCCTTAAATGTATTTTTCAGATGTTTCCATCATAGCCATTTCTGTAGCCAAGTTTCCGTATTAGAAAGCAGAAATTCATGTGTAGGCACGCTAATAAGGAACCTATTTCAACATTCAGCTACCTCCAAATATCTTTAGTTAAAAAAAATTAAAATCTAAAATACATAGGTAGCAGCAGGTGTGAGCAGGTCCTACGTCTGTATAGTTCTTACTTGACTTGCTTCATGCCTTGTACTATACATAGAGATTTTTACTCCAAAACCCCCTCTTTAGAAAACATCATGTAGTATTTACAGTTCTGTTGCAAATACATCAACTAAAAACATTAAAATGAATAATGATGCGGCAGTAACCTTCTGTTGGAAGTGGAACAGTGCAAAAGTAATATAACTGAAAGACATACCTTGCACAACGCAACTCCTGACGCAACTTGTCTCTTTCAAAAGAATCAGAGCTAATTGTAAAAGCAGTGTGGTATTTATAAAGGCAGAGACACACCTTCAGTCTCCAGCAAGACTATTACAACACAATAGGATACTTCAGTGCCATGTTTTACCTCTGACACACCTCCTTGGAAAAGTGCCAGTCCTCACTCTTAGCACAAAAAAAAAAACAAAACCAACCCCCAAAAAACCAAACCAAAAACCCAACCATCTACAGTGGAGTGACAAGGTGTGTTTGTGTAAATTAGATGTTACTTTAGCCAAGTCCTTCCCTCTTCATGAACAATGATAAGAACTTTATTAGCTCATGAGCTTCTTTAAAAGAGCTTTTCCCAGCCATTGAGGGATGTATCTTGCAACGCCCTCAACAGCCCTGCACTACCATTGTGTTTAGTAGAATTTGGGTGGTGTTCAGTGATTCTCTGTGAAATGAAAACCATTCCACAAAGCATTTCAAAGTTAACTTTCAAACATTTCTTTACCTCCTGTCACAAAAATGTATTGCAGAACATTTTAAAATCAAAATAAGTAATCATTCTGCATTAAGGACAGCATTCATTATGGTGAGACGGTCATAAACACAAAGTTCAAAAACAAATACAAGCTCCCTCAGAATTAGTGACTGTATGGGGTCTAAGAGCAGGGATCAATTGCACAGCACTGATCTATGCTCCTCCTCTCTGCCAGCTTTTGTGTATGTAAAGAAGTGGGTTACATCAAGAGATTTCATTATGGGACCATGTCTAATGCATATTAACCTGAAAAAGATGATGACAGTGGAAGAACAAGCATTAGACTAATATAAAAATGCATTCAGAGTTGGGAATAGGCATCCCTTAAAGAATGGATAGAGCAGCTAGTGCCTTTGTAGCTCGGTTGCTTCAGGTGGTTTTACTGGAGAAAAGTAAGTGGGACATTTGTAATATGTGCTTGGGAAATACTTGCAAGAATAAAAGGTGGGATGCAAGAAGAGAAAAAAGGAGAAATTGGTGTAAGATATAGGCAGGTCTTCCTCTTTGACTCTGTAAAAAAATCAGAAGCCAGGACAGAAATGTGGGGAATGGGATTCATTTACTTGAAATACTAAGGGGCTGATCTGTGTGCCGGGACTATCTCCTAATCTGTCTATGTGTGTTCAGCTACCTTTGATGCTTTGTGATCGAGGTCATTAGATCTGCCTTGTGCACCTTTGATTGGCATGAGTTAGTATTGAAACCATTTGCAACAATCTGCTAAATGTGAAAGATTTATGGTTAGCTCTGGCAAGGGTTAATGAATGGATGATCCAAGGATGACTCATGGATCAGAAAACGTTTAACAGTGTGTCAGGTTGGATTGGAATCAGAGAACGAAGATAATGTAAGAGATAAGTAAGGGAAGGACTATCCTGCTCAGGAATCCTAAACTAACACCACATAGTATCCACAGTATCATCTGGAGTAGTAGTATTTAGGTTTATGGTATTAGGTATTAATATCAGGTTTACAGTTGGACTTGATGATCTTAAGGACTGTCGTGGTTTAATCTGGCAGGCAGCAAAACACCACGCAGCCACTTGCTCACTGCCCCCTGCCGCAGTGGGAAGGGAAGAGAATCAGAAGGGTAAGAGTGAGAAAACTCATGGGTTGAGATAAAGACAGTTTAATAGAACAGAAAAGGAAGGGAAAATAATAATAATAA